AGCACTCACTGCTTGCCTGTGCTTCGTGAGGTCCCTTTCAGTCCTGAGAGTGTGCCCGTCAGTCCTTGTAGGGGTTGATTACATGTTGTTGATTAAATGATTTGTTTGACCTCCTGTGTCACAGCCGCACAGTTAATACCTTGCCGAGTTGCATTGTAAACTATGGATGCTTCAGACGTTTGTGGTTACATTGGACTCATCAGAGGTTCCGGAGGTTCTGGCGTGGCTGAACATGGTTTATGAAACTATAGTGCAACGTTCGTCACAGCATGAGGCCGGGGCCGTAGAGAAGCCCGTCTTCACCAGTGAATGTTCCATTGCTAAGCCTTTTCCTGAATGTGAGCGCTGCTCATACCACGTTGTCATTCCTTTTCTGAGTATTTTTATCTCTGACTGCTGTCTAGCTTGCCTAACTTAGCTCTAAGAGGGTAGTATGAATCTACGTCTCTACCGATCAATCTATAGGCGTTTGCTTACAAGTGTATACTTGAAGGATGTAACAGTCCCGGTGGTCTTGGGGAACTGGTGCATATGCACGTCACATCTGAGCCATTTTCACTTCCTCTTTCGTCCTGCCCTCTCCTCTGCCTGCCCCTTTCTTCTCCTCCTCCTGGTCTTCCTCCTCTTCCTCTCTCTTCCTCCTCTCTGTTCGTTCCTACATGTTTGTGATAAGTGAAGGTGAACTTTGTAGTGGGAGTTGGTAATAAGCACAGCGCATCTCAGTCCTTGTTATTTTCCCCTCTCAGCCCTTCCTTGTATTTGCCCTTACCCCTTCCTCTTTAGAATTATTTATAACCTGAACGGGTTTTAGAGTGCAGGTTCAGTGTAGGAAGATAAAAGATGGGCAGGTGTAGGAGGAGAAGGATTGGAAGTGGACAGATTATTGATGTTTCTATAAACAAAAACTGAAATGAAGAGAAGCAATTAAGAGATCAAGTGCAAAGATGATAGCTGATAAGCTATTGATATAACAATACAAACAGGTAGAAAAGATTGTAATAGGAAAACTCAGAGTAGACCCTCAGTTCATTTTATTTCCCAGTTGGTATCTGTATTGCCATGGAGTACGTCTCAGGAAGATGTCCACGCATCTACAAACCCCAGAAGCCTGTGTCGTGTTTTGACCCTTGCCTGGCATGACTTAGCGGTATTCTGTGGGTCATTCCCTACCTGCTGACTTTAAATCCTTGGTGGGTCAAACGTACCCGATTATTCCACCTGCCCTTCGTGCGCCCTGAGACTCAGCGCGTGCCTTGCCCTTGTTTGTATGTACTGTATCAGCGATTGTAAAGTATAGCTGGGGTTGGGAAGGTGACATCTGGTGTCAGCTGGTTTCCCCATCAAGTGTTGATGATTTGCTTTCCACAAGGACTCTCCTCAGCCACCGGTCTGCTGTTCGCACCTCAGGGATGCAGTGAGGTTAAGACTCACATCGATAGCTCCGATCTGTGTCACTGAGGTTGAGGTCTGTGGCACGTTCTCTGATTAGAAAGAGACGAAGCAGAATGTAAAGGGTGGAGTGTAAGATTTTCTGGAATTTGCATTAGTAGAGTGTCTGTTTGAAAAAAAAATTCCCTAAAGTTTTAAGACATAAACTTGAAATGCTTTCTAGAAGGTGATTTGGAAATTTTGTAAGATGTTACTTCTATGTTTTCCAGATTGAGGCTTATTGCACTAGAATAAATAAGAATTTTGGCATCATCAGTTTTGATCATGGGTCAGCCAACCAGGTAGTATTTTGCTACTATAGGAGTTGAGATGTACTGGATATGGCTAGACCAGCACTTGTGCTTTGCGGACAGACAGTTTTTTGTCCGTCTGTCTCATTTTCTGAGGTGGGGTGTCCTGGGGTGCCGAGGCCAGGCTCTGACTTTGGGCTTCGCTTCCACAGGAGCTAGGACTGCAGGTGCAGGGCGCAGTGCCTGTCTGCAGGGAAATGAAGTTTAGCTCACTTTAATTTTATTTTTAAACCTAGGAAAGGTTTTGGAATGGGAGTGTGGTGATTTCAAAATTCTGGAATAAGACTGTTCTTATGCTTGGAGCTCTTTGTGGTTTCCTCTTCCCTGTTTCTTTTGCTCATTTTGATGTTAAAACGGTACATATTGTTTCTTTTGCTTTTCTTGGCTTATCTCACACAAATGGAAAGAAAATATTTGAATAGACCAAATGCGCTGAATGTTAATTTATTTTTTTTTCCTGTTTCTAAATCTCACACACTTACTTTAAGATGAAACAAAAGTGGTGATTTAACAAAAGATACCCTTTAAGTAATTTTAGTTAGTGAAAGCTGCCCTGGAGAATTAAATTAAGGAAGTAAAGTTTTCACATGACTGAAACTGCGGGCTTTGAGACTATAAGAATAGAGTTCATCATACAGCCAAAAATAAAAAATGGTTCAGCATTTTAAAAAATCTTTGCACTTTTTTATTTTGAGACAGGGTTTCAATAAGTGACTAAATTGCCCAGTCTGGTCTGGAACTTTGAATTCTCCTGCCTCAGCCTCCTAGAGTTCTGGAATTACAGATGTGTGCTGCCACACCCAGTTTGAGTAATTTATTTATTTTAACTTTTTAAAAAACTTTAATCGGTACTGGGGATCGAACTTACGACCGCCTGCTTGCAAGGCAGGTGCTTATGCCGCTGAGCTAAATCCCCAGTCCTGAGTAATTTATTTTTAAATAATGAGAATTACAAAGAAGAAAATAAAATTAGATACCTTGTTTCTTAGAGCTCTTTTTAACATCTTGAGTAATTTGTATATTAGTGGCTTTAACTATTCAATAAGAATTGAATTTTTATCCTGTTAGATGGATTATAACTCAACCTTGTTTTCTTCTTCTGCTGCAGATGTTTTTATTCTTAGCATGGTTTTCTTTCTGATTTCTGGTTTTACATAACACACTATACCAAGATTGTTTAGATAATTTTAACATCTTTCTTTGTAGTATGCATACGCATGCTCTAGTGTTGTATTTGCATTTTGAATTCATCTTAAATTCATAATGAGTGAAGTGTGAATTTTAAACTTGCTAGCTAGTATTCTAATATTTATTAAATTAGCCATTTTTCCTCACTGATATGAAATATCCTATTAGGTACTAAATCTTCAAATATGCTTGGGTTTATTTCTATATTCCCCATTATGTTTTATTTGGTGTCATCTTGTGCTAATAAGAATAATAAATTTAAGTAGTACTAAAATTTAATTACTGTAGTCTTATAATGAGTTTAATATGCAGTAAGGCGAATCTCATTAGAAACTTTTGGTTATTCCTTTATAAAGTGTCTCAATTTATCATACTTTCCAACATGGTTCACCTTTAGAAATAATTCCTACTCTGGATGTAGAAACAGTCGTTGAAATTTTTTGTTGTAAAGTGGGTTTCAGTCTTTGTGAAAGAATAGAATTCAATTTTAGTCATATGAAAAGTAACTATACTGAACTATTAAATGAATAGCAACTTCTCTTTAGTTTGATCCTGTGATAATTTTATTCTCGGTACTCTAACAGTGACAATAAAAGTGCTCCTAAGGTTATGGTCCAAAAACATTTTAGATGTCTCACATTCGGAGAGAAAGCGTTCTGGGTAAATAGTCTACGCAGCAGGAACTTTAACTGAAAATAACAGTAAGGGAAGAACCCAGCAATCTAGTCCACCCTGAATTCCTTGAGGTCAGGGTGTTTGTCTAATTAGCTTGCTTGTTTGTTTAGGAAAAGGTGAGCCTCGGGTGAAATGCCTGGTCAGCCTCTGCCCTTTCCCTGCCACCCAGCTCAGGTGACTCCTTCCTGACTCCTTCCTCCGCTGCTGGGGACAGGCCGGGTGTGGCTGGCTTCTGACTCTGGGAACTGTGGCAACCAGCCTCCCCTGTGGCCTCCTTTTTTGATTTAGGAAGAAAATGCATGCATTCTCTTAAAACTTGTGGATTTAGAAGATTCAGCTTTTAAATTCTAAAAACAGTGTGTTTTTGGATAATATTTGGGAAATGTGGATGATCGTGATGTAAAAATAAGGTCACAAGGAAGTCACTGTCCACGTTTGGCCTGTTCTTTCTGACCTCCTCCACCTGTGCGCGGTGGTGCGCATGCTTCAGACCCGCGCTGTAGCCCCTCTCTGGTCAACTCCTTGCTCACGTTTGTAATGGACACAGAACCCATCGTGTAGATGCACTGTGTATCATTTACATTTCATAAACTTTTTCTTGCTTTTCCAGTTTTGCTAAATATGTATACAGTTTTCATGAAGAAAAATTTTCTTTCATTTTCTTTGTCAGTTCAGAAAAGTTCTTACTCTGGTGAGAGTGCTACTATCAGTATACAGTATATATTTCATTAATTTATCAGTTCATTGATTCATTTAATAGATACGTACTAGACAGAAATTGAGGACCCTCAAACATATTTAATGCTTATGGTAAGAAACAGGGAAGAAACAAGTACAGCTACAGTAGCAAGATGAGAGCTCCAGTGGAGAAGGCCACTTGTGAGAACTCCTTGCTGCTATAAAAAACCACGCCCACAGATTCTATTAGAATTTTCCTGCTCTTTTCTCTTTTTTATTTTGCTACTGGGAATCAACTCACAACCTTGCACTTGCCAGGCAGGCGCTGTACCACTGAGCTGTATCCCCAGTCCGGAATTTTCCTGCTCTTAGAACAAAATTCTTATGTCGGCCTATGAGGTTGTATGTGCTCCAGTCCTTCCTGTGTAACTCTAAAGCGTTGTCTCTTTTGGACTTTCTATATTCTAGACACATTTTCTTTTCAGAATTCTTCCAATAGATCATGGTTTTTCCCACCCTAGAACTGTAAGGTATAATAGCTTTTAATACAAATTATAAAATAATGCCTGTTCTTAAGAGAAATTAGTGGATCAGTATTTCTGGGTATGTGTTTGTAAGTCTATAAGGTTAATGTTCTGTGCAGCATTCTTAAAAAGTAAACTAGGTGAATTATTGCATGTGAGTGCAAGCATTTTCAGTTACAATTGGTTTCTTTTTCAGATTATACCACACATCTCAGTTTTTCCTCAAGTGAAGTTATGAAGCATGTACTTATGAACTACATTTAATCGTATTTTAAAGTAAGAAAATATTTTCTGTTATAAATTTAAACCATTTCTGTGTTTTAAAAAAATGCTTTAGTGTTGAGAGAGGAAGGAGATACAGGAAATGCTGTAATTTAAAAAGTAAAACCATACAGGTGGTACATGGAAGAAGTGAGTGGAAGTCTCCATTCTGAAGATGGGGAGCATTTTAAGTAAGATTTCAGGTCACTGTTTGTAACTGCAGTGAAATAGGCTTGGCTGCTCTGGTTGAGTGTCACAGCTGTGCTGTTTACGGTGCCCAGCTGTGAGTGATTGGGGAGATTACTGCTTGCTGTAGTTAGAGAATTATATTGTTACATATTTGGCATGCATGCTTTCTATGGTTAAAATATAACCGTATTCTGTAAGGCTTCTGGCTTTAGAATGAGAAATAGGTCTGTTCATCTTCTCTTCAAATTGTATGCAATGATTTAAGTAACTTTGTGAGTCTGGCACCATGTGATGTGTACCTTATTCTTCTTTAATTTTTAAAGTCACACAGAAGATCAAACTTTACAGAAGAATGCAATCAAGTGATGGCTTTTTCTTCAGAGTTTGAATATGGAGGCTACGGGGACAGATGAAGTTGACAAGCTAAAAACTAAATTTATATCTGCTTGGAACAACATGAAGTATAGTAAGTATCATGACATGAGAATTACCTAACAGAGAAGTTTTTGAGGATCTGTGTCCTCTCCCTTCAGTCATGGATGATGACTTGAGAGTGTGTAGGGAGCCGTTGAGGCTGGGGATTGATCACACGTGTGGGGCTAAAGCAAGGCCAGCCCTGAGAACATGGAGGCCCAAAGCGAGCCGCTAGACAAGCTGTTCCGGCTCCAAGAAGGCAGGGTCCAGGCCGGCCAGGCAAGCTGCTGGGCAGCAGGCTGAAACTGACCCCCCTCCCCGAGTGTATAAATAAAGGTGCTGCGGTGGTTGAGCAGTTCCTTCTCCCATCAGGAGAGAGGGCTCCTCCTGACTCAGCTTCTGTCTCTGCTTTATTTTCCCATCCACTCGATGTCCTTCACCCCAGGAACTTCAGGAGCCACATGGGTTGCGGCAAGAATGAATGAAATACTCTTGTCTAAAATGTAATATTTCTGTAAGGAATGCAGATAAGAATCTCCTGAAGAGAATATCCTGAAGAACATTGCTTAGAAACTTAACACAATGTGATTCTCTCTTTCTCCCTAACTTGATAGAGTATTTTGGTATGCTTCTGGCTTATGTAATTTTTTTAATTCCAGAGTAGACAGAATCTATTCAGGTGATGATACAATATGTTAGTTCTTCACATTCAGTTCCCAGCAGCCTCATGGGTGAGCAGGCAGTCAGCAAAATTGACCTCAGCATAAAAACAAATGGTGTCAGTCTTTTTTTTTTTTTTTTGTCTTTTTCCTTTTTATTGGTACTGGGGATCGAACTCACGACTGCCAGCTTGCAAGGCAGGTGCTTATGCCGCTGAGCTAAACCTCCAGCCCCAGTGGTGTCAGTCTTATGCTCTGGTACAACTGACTTTTTCTCCTGCATGTTCCTGTAAGCCTTTATTTTTTGGCCTAATTATCCTTTACAAATTTAAAAAAAATTTTTTAAAGAGAAAAATGAAATTTTAAAACATGATAATTAGAGGATAATAATGGTAAACACATTGGCTAATAGTTAATACAATAATAGGTTGTGTATTATCTTTAAATGAGTTACTCAGAGTACAAGATATCTGCATTTAGTTGTCTAAACAGTGTTAGTAAAAAACCTTTCTTTTCAATGAACCAAGAGAAATTAGTAGTATGACTATCTGAACTGTCCACACACACACATTTCTTTCAGCTTCTCACACTAGGGATACAATGCAGTGTTTATACATGTGAGTCTGATTTATTTCACTTATAAGTATGGTGTCTAGTTGCATCCATTTACCTATAAAAGCCTCAAGTTTATCCTTCCTTATGGCCGAGTAGTACTTCATTATCACATCTTTTTTTTTTTTTTATTCTTTGGTTGATGGGCATCTAGGTTGTTTCTCAGATTAAATTATTACAAATTGTGCTGCTATAAATATGGGGGCACATATATCACTGTGATATGATGTTTTTTAATTCTTCTGGGAAGATATCCAGAAGAGAAATAGCTGGGTCAATGGTACCTCCAGTCCTAGTTTTTTGAGGACTCTCCACACTGATTTCCACGTAGTTGTACCAGTCTACACTCCCATCCACAGTGGAGAAGAGTTCCTTTTTTCCCACAGCCCTGCCAGCATTTGTTACTGGTTGATTCTTGTTAATAGTCAAGTATTCTGGGATGAGGTAGAATCTCAGTATTGCTTTAATTTGCATCTCTCGAATGATCAGTGAGGTTGAACATTCTTTTCATACTGTTTTTGCTGTTTGTATTTTCTTATCTGAGGAGTGTATATTCATCTCAGATGCCCATTTTTGGGTTGAGTCTTTAAATTTGGGAGGACTGACTTTGAGTTCTTTGTATGTTCTTGATAGTCATCAGTTGTCTGAGGAACAGCTGGCAAACATTTTCTCTTCATTCATGAGTTGTCTCTTCATTCTAGTGGTTTCTCTTGCTGTGCAAAACTTTTTTTTAATAAGTTGAGGTCCCAGTTGTTGATTCTTTGTGGTGGTTGCTGTGCAATCAGGGTTTTATTCATAAAGCTGCAACAATGTCTTCAACAGTTTTACCAGTTCTATCTTCCAGCAGGTTTAATGTTTCTGTTTTAATATTAAGATCTTTGATCCAGTACAATTTTAGCTTAGTACATAGTGAAAGATATGGGTCCAGTTTAATCTTCAGCCTGTGCAGAGCCAGTTTATCCAGCACCATTTATTAAAGAGGCTATCTTTATTCCAGTGAATGTGTTTGGGACCTCTGTCCAAGTTAAGATTGGCTGAGTGTGTCTGGAGTTGTTTCTGCATCTTCTAATCTGTTTCACTGATCCTTGGGTCTTTTTTCCCCCCAGTACCATGGTATTTTTATCATAGTGGCTTTGTAGTATAATTTCAAATCAGGGGTTGTGATGCCCCCTGTGTTGCCTTTGCTATTCTGGGTCTCTTCTGGTTCCAGATGAATTTTAGAATTATTTTCTCTAATTCTGCGAGATATGCTATTAGAAGTTGGATTGAAATTGTATTAAATACCAGTTTTGGAAGTATAGCCATTTTTACTATATTGGTTCTTCCGACAAAAGAGTAAACAGTGTCTCTCCATTTTCTAATACTCTCTTCAATCTCCTTTTTCAGAGTACTATAGTTTTCAATGTCGAGGTCTTTAACATTCTTTGTTAGATTGATTTCTAGGTATTTCATTTTTTTTTTCGATGCTACTGTGAATGGCCTAATTACTCTTGATAAACAAAATTCAAACAAACAAGCAAATCCATTTGGATTGTTGGAGATGTTGGAATCCTCAAAGATGGAGAAGTATTCAAGCAGAACTAGTTCCAACAGGAAGAAGTTCATACCTTAGGACAGCAATGCCAACAAAGTTTAGAAAGAGCCTCAAATAATGCAAATCCTGGTAAAACGTAATTGCCATTTGCCTGCTGGCCCATTGGAAGTAACAGCCAGCTGACTTGGATGGGGAGTTGTAACTCGGCAATAGCGTGACATTGCAGCTTGGAGAGTTTGGACATCATTTTTTATACTGAGATGTATTGCACATAACTATAAAATGTACCTTTTAAAAGTACACAATTTTTATTTACTTTTTGTGGTACAGGGCATTGTGTCTAGGACCCTATGCATGCTTAGCATACACTCTGCCACTGACTATACCTCAGCCCGAATTAAAAAAGATGTATGACTTAGTGGATTTGAGAACCATCACTAATCCTAGAGCATTTTTATCATTTCCCAAAGCCACTTTGTATCTGTTAGCAACTGCTTCCTGTTCTACCAGTCTGTTTAGTTTCTGTGGATTTCACTGTTCTGGACATGGCATGTGAATGGGACCACACAGTGTGGAGCTTTCGTTTCTGACCCTGCCCGCACAGTGGTTTCAGAGTGTATCTGTGCTAATGAGCATTTGTGCATCAGAACTTCATCTTTTTATTTGACTGAGTGATATTTCATGTATGACTACCATATTTTACCTTTTATCATTTGATGTATGTTTCAGTCATTTCTGGTTTTGGCTATTACGAATAGTGTTGCTGTGAATATTTGTGTACAGTTTTTTAAGTCTTTGTGCCCTGGGCTTCTTGTGGCAGTGGGACTGCTAAGTCATACGTTTGACTCTCCATAACGACCAACCGTTCCATAGTGGCTGTACCATTTTATACTCCTTCAGCAACACTGAGGACTTGGCTGTGTCCATAACCCCCTGCCCTTGTATTGGCCGTTATTGGCCTTTCCAGTGGAGGTGATGTGAGTTTGGCTTGCATTTCACTGTTGACTGGGGTGATGAGCCCCTTCCGTGAGCGTACTGTCTAGTTGTGTGTCTTCTTTGGAGAAATGTCTATTCAACCCTTTGTCCATTTTATAATTCGGTTGTCTTTTTAAAAAAATTGAATTGTAACTGTTCTTTAGACATTGTAGATACAAACCTGTTAGTAAATATAGATTTGCAGGTATTTTCTCCTGTGCTTGAATTTTTTGGTCACTTTCATGAGAGCGACTATTGAAGTGCAAAACTTTTTAATTTTGATGGAGTCCAGTTTATTATCTTTTGTTACTTGATTTTGATGTCATAATGCAGAAACTGTTGCTTAAATCTCCATCAGGGAGATTTATGTGTCTGTTTCCTTCTGAGAGTTTTGTTTTAGCTCTTATATTTGGTTTTTGATCCATTCTGAATTAATTTTTACGTATGGAATGAGATAGGGGTCCAGCTTTATTCCATTATATGTTGCTAGCTAGTTTTCTTAGTATCATTTGTTGAAAAGTTTTATTTCTCCACTGCATGATTTTGACACATATGGCACATAAATGTGTGAATTTATTTCTACATTTTATTCCATTTATCTCTGTGTTTATACCTCTGTGACACTGTCATGGTTACTGTAGCTTTATAGTAAAGTATGAAATTAATTGAAAAGTGAGTTCTTCGGCTTTGTTTTTGATTATTCTGGGTCATTTGCACTTTAGTATGAATTTTATGATCATCTTGTCAATTTCTGTAAGAAAGCCAGCCGGGATTTTGATAGGAATTGAACTGAATCTGTAGATTGTAGATTCAGTGTCAGGAACAGTGTCTTAACAATATTAAGCCATCCAGTTGATGCACATGGGTGTCTATTTCTTTTTAAATTTACCTTAGTGACTTCAGTATCCTCCATTTTTATTGGTGACACTCACTCTGAAGTGCCTTTTGTATCTTCTCACTGTGTCAGGTGGGTGATTCAGGAGATTGGTGTTGACCGAGTGCCCACTGTGGGCTGGGCTTTGTAGTAGTTCATGTCCCTGCTAGTTAATCTCACAGCTCTCTGAGACCTCATGGTATGGTATGGTAGGTACACAGTCCGTGTGAGATTGCTGTAGCGTATCAGAGTCAGTTTAAAAGGAGGGAAAGATGTGTTATGGTTCAGGATTTCAGAGATTCCAGTCCGTGGTCAGCTGCTCCACTGTTTTGGCTCAGAGATAAGACAGAGCATCATGGGATTGGGAGCATGTGCGGGGAGGCTGGTCCCCTCACGGTGGCCAGGTCCAGAGAGGAGAGAGAGAGAGAGAGAGAGACAGAGAGAGAGAGAGAGAGAGAGAGACAGACAGACAGACAGACAGACAGACAGAGACAGAGACAGAGAGAGACAGAGAGACAGAGACAGACGACAGAGAGGAGGCTGCGGTCCCACTGTCCCCCAGGGCCTACAGCGGCATGCGTGCCTTCCCTGAAACTGGGCTCCTGAAGGGCTTAGGACTTCTCAACAGCGCCATCTGCTGGGAACCAACCTCTCCATACGTGGCCCTGTGGGGACCTGAAGAGCCGACTATGGCATAATTTTTTTTAAAAATAAATTAGAGAACAAATTTAGAGGCATGTTCACAGTCATGTATTTAGTTAAATCAGGAAAAGAATTCAAACTCAGCCTTCCTTTTCTCCAGTTGGCCATCCTCCGAGTACAGTGCGCATAGTTAGGGTTATTTCCGTTAGAGTGGCTGTGATGAAGTGATGATGCTGATGGTACTGCACGTAGGAGAGCGCTTAAGGTGTAACAGCGCTGGGCTCTGCTTTCTCGAAAATGTCTTTTTTGTTTTGCCTTTTTCTCCCACTTTTTGCATGACTATATGATGAATATAAATTTGGCTTCCTTTTTAAAAAAATTAATAAGCATATCATTCTTCTGGGTCTTTCTGATCGTCCAGAAAATCACACTCATTATTTCTTTACGCTTTGTCTTACTGCCATTTTCAAAAGCCTTATTTCTGATTTTTAAACAGTTTTGGGAAACTGAAGCAGAATTTGTACGTTTTCATTTTGGGTACCATAAGAACTCGTCAAGAGTTAATTAAAATAAAGAATATTTTAGTTCTCATGTTTTTTAAATGAATGGAATGTGATTAAAAGTCTTTATTTAAAAGTAGCATAAAGGACTTGTATTTTTCATTGATATTTTGCAACTCTTAAACATGCACACCCGTAAGTGAAAATGGCTTGAAATTAGATTTTAACAATACTGTTAGCCTCTTAATCTTTTAATAGCAAACCTCCTTTTCTTTGTTTTCTGTTTAGGTTGGGTGTTGAAAACAAAGACATATTTTAGTAGAAATTCCCCTGTATTGTTGCTTGGAAAATGTTATCATTTTAAATATGAAGGTAAGTGCTAGATTTGTAAAGCATTTAAAAATGTTTGAATAAATTATTCATTAAGCTTTTTTGGTTGTTATTTTCATAGTAATGTATTTTTTCCATATTTCTCTTAGGTACTTTCATTTTATGTAACACATAATATATTATCGTATCATATAGTTTGGTTTCTCTGAACTCCCGGAGGGTAAGATCTTCTGTTATAGCCTTCATATTTTTGAGCTTTCATTATGAGTACTAAGTAAATATTACTTAAATTGATGTTAGTATTGTTTTTCAGATTGCATTGATAACTTTAAAGTATGCAACAATAATAGCAATTATCACCTTAGTTAACCTAAAAATGATAATTTTTGAATTCTTAAGGGTGCTTCAGTATCTCAGATAGATTTCATTTGATATTTCTGACTTTCAACATGTACTTATCCTTTTAGTAATTATATAACTGTCTATGTGGCTTGCTCTTATTTTTAGGATCTTGAGGTACTTTACTGGTTATTTGGCACCCTGTGGTGTTTTTTTTTTTGTTTTTTTGTTTTTTTTGATATGGGCATTCACAGCTATGAACTTCTCTCTTAGGGCTTTTATTGTGTCTCAAGTTCTGGTGTGTTGTACTAACTAACATTAGCATTTAACTCTAGGAGTTGTCTTATATCTCCTATAATTCATTGATCATTCAATAGTATTAATTTCCATCTGTTTGCATAGTTTCTGTGGGTTTTTTTGTCATTGATTTCTAGTTTCATTATACTATGATCTGATATGGGATAATGTTGATTTTTTTTTTTTTTTTTTGTTTGCACTTTGGCATGAGTTTTTGGCTAGTATGTGATCTACTTTGAAGAAGGTTTCACTACTGACAAGAATGTGTATTTGGTTAAGTTCATTTGTTTAAAGGTTTTAACTATGATGCTTCTTTGTTGATTTTTTTTTTTTGTTTGATCTACTTATGACAGTTGAGTATCGAGGTCCCCCACTATAATTATGTTTGTTTATTTGATCTTTTGTTTCCAGTATTTATTTTGTGAAGTTGAGTGTATTTTTGCTAGGTGCATTTATATTAATAATTGTTATCTCTTTCTGTTGAATGGTCTGTAAATTTCTTTTTAGGTTAAGTGTGTTTCTTGTATACCTCATACTGTTGGGTTTTGTTTCTTGATCCTTTCTGCTGAACTGTGTTTTATGATTGGGAAACTGAGACCAGTTGAGAGTTGGTCAAGAAATGTATTGATATAGCCTAGTAATTACATTATTTTCCTGTTGCTGACTCCCTTTCTCTCCCTTCTGCTTAACTGCCTGTGTGTTTATTCTCTTAACCCCTTTGTCACTGTTCGTTTCATTGTCTCCAGGATATCCTTGAGGATTTTCTGGAGTGCTGGGTTGGTGGTTCATGAAAAAATTCATGAATTTTTTTTTTTTAGGTGCTCTTTATCATGAAGATACTGTATTTCTCCATCAGTTAGTTCAAAGATAGTTTTGTAGGATATATCAGTCCTGGCTAGAATGTGTTTTCTTTTAGGGATTGGGATCTTCAGTCTGTTTTCTGTTATTTGTCCAAGTTGCAATATCCTTTTTTTAAAAAAACACATGCATACTTATGTTATTAATTAATTACAATAGTTGTACCCCTTGAGGACTTGTTTTACAATGTATCTTCTGATTATTTCTTACAGTAGCTCATTTCATTGTGGTTTCATTGTGGTTTGTAATCATCAGCCTTGACTAAGCAGTTCTCTTCTATTGCATCTCAGCTTTTTTTTTTTTTTTTTGCATCTCAGCTTTTATTCCTATAGTGGTTCTTTGAAATGTTCCTCTTTCTTCATAAAGCTCTGATGTTTTTTTTTGTACCGGGGTTTGAACTCACCACCTTGCACTCCCTGGGAAGGAACTTGTGCCTCTAAGTCAAATCCCCAGCCCTTAAAGTTCAGATCTTGAGTCATCTGTCCGCTTAACAAATACAACAATAAATAAAATAAAGTACTTTTGGTTTCATTTATCTTATATGCACTTAACAAATGCTTATTGTTGTGGTCTGGAACTCTGTTTTGTGTTGATAGTAAACACATTTTTTTCTCTGGGATGCTTGAAATCTAAGAAGAGGCAAATGTAGATAAAAATTATTGGCATTACTGATTTTGCTGAAGTCTGGTGAGTCAGAGACTGGGACAGTGAAGATAGTGTTATAGTGGAAGGACAGTGCGGCGAGAACCTCATTTAGCACTACCAGTTTCCCAGTTATGTTAAGAGGAACTAGATTTTAAGAATATAAGGAATCATGCCTCAAAGTAGTAGATTAAGAACTATGTGATTTGTAAGCCACAGGGTAAAGTCTGAGAATTATGTATTATTTTATCAAATGTCAAGCAGATGTGTCTAAGCTAGGAAGTTTGAATGCAGCTATAGTTCCATGTTCAATTTACAGGTACTTTTATGTGTAGCTAACTTTTTTTTTTTTTTTTCATTTTTCTTTTTTATCGGTACCAGGGATCAAACTCACGACTGCCTGCTTGCAAGGCAGGCGCTTATGCCGCTGAGCTAAATCCCCAGCCCCATTGTGTAGCTAACTTTAAATGCTACTGAGAGTATTGAGAGAAGGTATTGATAACGGAGGCTTAGCGTTCATGCATTTATTATCATAAACTGTCCACTGTAGTTCGGTTCCATTACTGAATGTGTATAAAGTTAGGGTGATGGTATATTTTTCAGAATGAGCTTAAAAAGCGGGATTGGTAAAGGGAGGATGAGAAATGTGCATGATAAAGCTTTTTTAGCTTTTAATATGCTGCTGAAGGACGTTGAAAATTGACCTCCTTGGAATTGAGAGCTGTGGTGGATTTATCTGCCAGGCTGCCTTCCGCCCGCACAAACTAACCGCTGCCTACTGGGGTCTGCTCCCCAGGCTCTGGCTTCAGCTGAGGGGGAAGAAGAGTGCCAGTTCCCTCCAAGGGCAGGAGGGAGTGGCAGTTCATTTTGAGCAAGTGCGTTGTAAATTATCAAGCAAAAAATGCTGTAGCTTTTTCATAGGAACTGTGTCAGACGTAATCGTTTGGAAAAGCTTTTAAAAATCACCTGCAGGTGGCAACAAATTTTGAAGCATTGTATTTGAGCATAAAAGGATAATTATGCTTTAGGAATTTTATATTCTCTTTCACTTACTAGTTTTGACCTTCTGATTTGAGTAGAAATATTGTAAAACAGTGTCCACATTTTATTTCAAGAACCAGCTTGTGTGATTATTCACAGTTTTACATATTGACAAATTATGACATTTTATTTGTGAATAATATTTCATAGTTCTACTATGTACGTCCTGAGCCAAATTAGGTAACAAGAAAAATGATTTTAGTATTCTCCCCTCATCAAAGAGGTGGATTTCTGTTGGCCATAGGATGTTTTTATTATTGTGGTGTTACTTGTACCACCTACCGTATATTAAATACAGCCCAGAACATTTCAGCATTCACTCATTTGCTTTGGTACAGGCTGAAGTGGCAGACTGAGGTTCCCTTTCCTTTTTTTCCCTAATATGGCCTCACTGTGCAGTTCGGCCTGGCCTTGAAGTTGCATGCCTGTAACCTCAGCTGTTCTTGAACTCAGGGCAGTCTTCCTGTCTCAGCCTTCCTGAAGTACAGGCAGGGGTTACAAGGCTGCTACCCTTGCCGTTAAATGGGAATGAGGTGGGGGAGATGGGGCTGTAACCTGTGTCTCAGGGCAGCCATGGTAATCTGTCCCCAACATGGATACTGCCTTGCATGTCTGTATGGTTCGTATTTCTGTCTTGTAGATGAACATAAAATGTTAACTGCAAGGTCAGGATGCGCCATAGAAGACCGTGTCATTGCGGGAAACGTGGATGAATTCCGTAAAGATTTCATCTCCAGAATATGGCTCACCTACCGGGAGGAGTTTCCACCCATCGAGGGCTCGGCCCTGAGCACCGACTGTGGCTGGGGCTGCACGCTGCGCACCGGCCAGATGCTGCTGGCGCAGGGGCTGGTCCTCCACTTTCTCGGGAGAGGTAGGTTGTGGCTGGGTTATTCTTTGTGCATCGTGTTTGTTTAGTTTGAACTTAAGCTCGCATACTCTACAGATTCTCTCAGGTGAGTTTCTTGGTGTCCTGATTTTTCTTCTTGATACTGGGACTCAAACTCAGGACCTCGTGCTTCCAGACACGCTGTGCTACTGAGCTCCATCTATGCCCCCGATGCTTTTGAAAGTTGTAACTGATCTAGCATTTTATATTCTTATTGACCAGGGCCATTAAAGTCTTACGTGTACATTTTTATGGTTGTCTTCAAAAGTATAGAATAGTTTGTTTTTCTTGATACCACAGTGAATCACGTTCGTCTAGCTTTGCGTAGCCTTTGCATTTTTGTGCTCTGGCTGATTTGCAGTCTTGGGCAATCCTGGGCAAAAACTGGAATGTTTATAATAGTGCCAAGGAGGTCTCCCAACCTGTCTCACTACCCTGCCAGTGGAGTAGTGGATATATTGCATTTTTTAAAAAATCTTTGGTCACTCGTTCATTAACTTTTTATTTACTAGAGTATGATTACCCTCTAAAAAGGATTAAGTTGTTCTGAAGGCATGTTTTAGAAACGTATTTTGAAAACTTAAGATTGCTGTAGTAATATTTTTAAGGTGTGATCAGAGGGGTCCCTTTTCTGAATATATTCACTCTTGGTGGCCTCTACGTGTTTGTGTTTTCTGTGTCCTTTACGGTCGGGCCTGGCACTGATGAGCAGTGCGACAGAGGAAGCGGAAGACTTCATTTCGTCTAAGCAGTGTGTTAGGAGAGAAAGATTCTGCAGTTTTCCGTTTGGACCTGAGTTTATTATTTTTTCTTTCTTTTGTCTAATTTTCGTGTTTTCCTGATTATGTGTGATATGTTCCAGTTTTAGAAATTTTGGAAACTACAGAATATTCTGAGAGTAACATGACTACTGAGATGTGAACATCACGAGCGTTGCTCACTGCCTCTGATCATCCCTTTGTTGTTTTAAGCAGCTTCATTGTGCTGTGACCTCCGTACTGTAAAGTCTCATAGTAGAGTGGGCGATTCAATGCCTGTTGTTGAGTGCAATGCTAGGGGCTTAACCCAGGGCCATGCCCAGGGCAGACAAGTCCTGTCCCATTAAGTACAGCCCCAGGCCTAAGTGTATTTCAGAGTTCCATCGCCATAATTTAGGTTTAGGATTAGGGTTAGGATTCTTGGTGCAGTACTGGGGAATGGCACTCAGGGCCTTTGCTCTGAGCTACATCCCTGGTTCCCTCCTAAAATAATAATAATCAGCCTCAGTGCCTCATTGAGTTGCTTTGGGATTGTTCTGCCTCAGCCTGTCAGAGTTCTGGGATTCCAGGTATCCAGCTACCATAATGTGATTTTGGAACATTTTTATCATCTCTTAGAGAAATATGGGAAGCCGTTTCTCAATCAGCAGCTGTTAAAATATATATATATATATATATATATATTTATATTCACTGCTCCTCATCTTTCTGCCCTGTGTAAGTGTAGTGGTGACCTGTATGCTGTAAGGGCTGTAGACTGACTTTAGGGGAATTGTTAGAATAAATCTGTGTAAAGGATCCAAACGCTTTGTTTTGGACCTGCTGTAGCTTGGATCTGGCCTGACGCATTGAACATTGAGAATTTAGACTCTGAGTCGTGGACTTCACACACAGTGAAAAAGTTTGCTGCATCCTTCGAAGCGTCGCTCTCGGGAGAAAGACAGCTCGGGACTCCAGCCCTGTCCCTGAAGGAGACGATGGAGAAGTACCCCAACCCCCATGAAGTGCGAGACGAGGTTTATCACAGGAAAATCATCTCTTGGTTTGGCGACTCCCCCTCGGCTCTCTTTGGCCTGCATCAGCTCATAGAGTGTGGCAGGAGGTCTGGGAAGAAGGCTGGAGACTGGTACGGGCCGGCCGTCGTGGCTCACATCTTAAGGTAAAGCATTTCAAGGTCGCGCCTGCGACCCTAAGGGTGCAGAGGTGCCCTGCAGGCTGTGCACCCCTGAAAGCCAAAGCCCACAGTGGGGAGTATGTTTGGGTGCTTCCATTTGCTAACGGCGACGAAGGGCAGACTGAGACTCCGGTCACAGCTGTCTGCCGACAGGTTTTTCTTTTCTTGCTCACAGGTGTAGATACCCGGATCTCTTTCTAACTAGTTTCCCTGGGCTGCCCTATTGAAATGTTCCAAAACTAACATCTCTTTCAACCTTGGAACATGCACAATGTTACTTCTTTTTTTTTTTGATAATGTAACCTGGAGGCCGTAATGTACTGATAGTATAATGAAATGTCGGGAGCTAAAATTGATGTTTTCAGTGTTTCTTTGCACATCAAATTCTTGTGAATTGTAAATGTATGGGACATGGGGCTATTAATATTATAATTATATCACAGTAAAAGTGAAGGGTCTGTGACATTCAGGTGCTTAGAAAAAATGGAAAGTCAAATTTTACTGTGCTAACACGTTTATATCCCACTTACTTGGATATCATCCAAGTTTAAAAAATATATATTATTTGTTGACTGTCCATTATTATAAACCAATTCATCAATATGTTATATAAGAATGGTAAGTTGTAAATTTATTCTCCCTATAATCATGTGAGTTTGAAGTTATTACAAAGCATTTTTGCATATTGGCAAATTTTATAGACTAGATGCTTACAATGGGAAAAGTACCTGATGTTTTTAGTTGTTTTTGTAAACAGCAGCCCCAGCTTCCATGATGTTTATAAAAGCATAGCCATAGAATCATAGTTCGAGCCCTTCCAGGGCTCAGCAAACTTTCTGAAAATGGGCAAACAGTTAATGTTTTAGGGTTGTAGGCCAATGTTTTAGGGTTGTAGGCCTTATATAAGGTTTCTATTGCCTTTACAACCGTCAAAACCATTCTAAAAAAATAGGCCACAGATCATATTTGGATTGTGGGCCCTAATTTGCCAATCCTTCTTCCATTACACATAATGAAGCATTTTAAGTTAAAGAATTATAAAGACACAGTTAAATAAAAATATATTTCCTCAGTTTGCATAATTTCCTTTGATATTGTGATTTTTTGTACCATTGAGTATTCTATTCACTTAGAAATATTTTTATCTTGCAGTTTTGCTTATAGAATTCTCCGATTTGAAATTAGCATATTAATTTGTTCAAGTCCTCCTAGGTGTTTGGTTTGTCTTGTGTTTTAGCAGTGCTGGGTGTAAACACAGCATCTCACACAGGCTAGGCAGGTGCTCTACTGCTGAGTCATACCCCCAAGCCCTTGTTAGAGGTTTTGAATGAAGAAAAAGTCAGGCTGTTTCTTGAAGAAAAGAAAATTGCCCTGCATGTGTCCGAGGACAAGCAGTATTGCACCCCTGCCGGTGGTGTGGCTTGTTGGGAAGCAGACCTTAGGGCAGTCACTGTTAGGAGGCAGATAGTGTGGCTGGATGAGTGGGTGGTGCTACTTCATGCCCGAGAGTCTTAAAAATACAATTTACAACATAGGTTTTAATGATCTCTGAGGAATTTAGTACAATATTTGACTCTGAAAGACCTGACTTGATTTCTGATCCCCTCAGATGGTGGTTTGGATGGCAGACATTCAGGTTTCAAAGTCAAAAAGCAGTGCTTCTCCCCCAGTAAACTGAGTCTGTAGTTACCAACTGGAAATGTTCGTGTTTTAAAGGTAGATCCTCGTTATTTTCTTAGGAAAGCAGTTGAAGAAGCGAGACACCCTGATTTACAAGGAATCACTGTGTATGTTGCACAGGATTGTACAGGTAAGGCATGTGTGTCCTTGTGGTTTTCATCTGTCTGTCTGGTCAGAGGTTCATGTGTGTTCGCTCATGGGGTCTTGTGACTGATAGTGAAGGTGGAGCCCATGTCTTGTGTATTTTTGGTCCCCACTCAGTATCCAGGTCATCTCACTGCTGCTTGTGTCTCAAGGAGAGAAACTGCAGCGTTGTTGTGGGAGGCCCTGCGCTTTGCCTTCCCTGCTGCTCTAGGCGGTCACCTGGCCATGAGTTTGTTGTCTAGGGTTTCCGCAGCTTTGGGTCTCCTGGGGATGATCAGTGTCAAGCAGTGACTTTGAAACTTTGTTGGGGACAAAGCAAAGACCATAACTTCCAGATAAAATAGGCTACCTCGTGATGTTACGTGTTTAGGAAACCCGTAACTATTTAGGAAATTAAATAGATGTTAATGTTCTAGAAAAATTGAATGTACTGGAATCACATTTAATATAAGAGTATCTACAAAATATTTAAGGTTATCCTGACACCAGCTAGTATAGAAAGGATACTTCCCAAATATATATGCATGTTTCTTTGGCTTTTTGTTGAGATTTAATTTCCTTTTAAAGAAAGACTGATACCATACAAAAATGAAAGTCATAAATCTTCAGATAATGTATAAAGTTTGTAGGTATTCTTGTTTATTTCTCTGATCTCGCAAATAAAATCTACTGTATAATATTAAGATAAATGATATGCTTAAGCAGCTAATTTAATTTATGAATTTGCTTTTTGTGCTTTTATTTTTATTGATCAGCCTTCATCTTTATTACATATACTTAAATAAAGAATACAGAGTTCCTCATTTGTAAGTGGTTTGTGTGATTTGATATCGCTCTTAAAATTTTTACTGTTCATGTTTAAGAACCCGAAGTGGAGAATTAATATTAGTATAGTTTTATTAGGCTGTGGGATTAGGAACCAGGCAAAGCAAGTGATTTTCCCCTCCTTAATGTTTTTAAAGGTTTCATTTTCCATTTATTTTCTTTCTTTCCATTTGTATCTTCTTCCTTTGTAATTACATGTCTTTCAGTAGCTTTCAGTACTCGGGACTATGCATCATACATTAAGATTTTTAAAAGTAGCCAGGTGTAATCGTACACACCTGTGATCACAGCATGGGGGAGGCTGAGACAGGAGGATCACTCTGAGTTCAAGGCTAGCCTGGGCCATATAATCCAGTTCAAGGCCAGCTTGTTTTGTAGACCCTGCCTCCAAACAAACAAACAAAGATTTCTAAGACTTACTTCTGTAGTCCCACCTGAGCAGCTGTCAGGTAACTCATGGCTTTTTTTCTGTACACCTTTCTGATTAGCATGTTTAAAGGTGAACTTCCCTCTGTCCTACCCCTTTCTACTTCCTGCCTTCTCAGGATTAGTGTGTGGCGCCCACACACACAGCCTGTGCGGAGCCCACTGAGTCCTCACCACTGCTTCTTGCTCTGGTGGTGCTGCCCCCAAGGTCTGCTCACTGTGCCCCTAAAACTGTCCCTGACATCCCTCTGCCCTCACTGGTTTAGGTCACAGCTGTATCTGTGACTCAGACCTTGGATTTTCATGTCTTTTTATTTCATCTTGTTAAGATTTCTCTCCTTGTCCTTTTCCCTTTTGATTCATGTGATCAAAGGTGCTAATCACTCTTGTAATCCAAAAATGAGCCCCTTACACCACCAGCCTCAAGTCCAAAAATGGGGAAAGACATGTTTTTAAAAAGCATTGCTGATTTATTTTATCCTGGGCCCCGCGACACAGTGCTGTTGGAGTTTGCAAAAGCTGTGTGTCTCCCTCAAAACTTTCCAGACTTTTTGTAGAAAGCACTGTTTACAAAGTAAGGGGTTATGGGCGTGGGTCAGGAAATGAAAGATCCTTGATCTGCTAAGGAATGAGGAAGACCTTTGTTTCCCTTTGCAGAGGACAGAGAAGTCTCAAGCAGGAATTAACAATCCTTTGTCAACTTATTTTAGCTCTCAATTTTAGATAACATCTGTTGTTTGCAGAAGGCAGCAATGGTTAACATACCAATTAGGTCAGATTCCCAGGGATTTACAATTCTTTACAGAGGGGAGCATTGATTAACATATCAATTAGGTCACCCAGAAAAAATGATGCATACAGAACAGTATGAGGGTGTTACAGGTACTTTGGTCATATAACTCTGGCATAACACAAGCATAATGAAGCTCTTTTTGCTAGTGTACAGCAATCACGTACATGCTTCCTTTATTTAAAAACCTGAAGCTGCCTCATATTCTCTATTGTGTAAAGTGAAGTCCTGCATGTGCATCCCCCACCCTGGCTCCAGGGGTGTGCTGGTACCTCCTCTTTATAACACCTCCTGCCCACTTGTTCTTCAGGGACACACTTAGCTGTCCCCACAAGGCAGAATTAGTTTACTTGGCCTCCATGCGGTTCTGGAGATGCTGCTATCTGAGGGGGCAGTTGTCCTTTCCATGTGATAGCACCTTGTAATCACCTGTTTTCCCGTGTAGTCAGTGAAGGCCCAGTGGAGTGGGTGGAGGAAAGGCGCTGGGTACTCTCCTTGAGAGTCGTTCCTCTGGTGGCCTCTGTGACTGAACTGGACCATGTTGCAGCCCCGTTGTGCACGTTGTGGATGGGAAAACCTCACAGCAGTCAAGCCGGACACCCTGAGGCTGGAGCCTTCACTGGCATGGGGCTGGGAGGGGGCAGGACCGCTGTAGCATCTTTGTAGCTTGGGAAGTATGAAAGGAGACAGGGAAGCCAGAGGACAGAAGCTGAGAATGCATCCCCCTGCCCCCTGCTCCCCTTGCCCCCCTGCTGCCCCCTGTCCCTTCCCTTGTCATCTCTTTACATGTGTGTTGAGTCCCCTTGGCCTCCAGCTTGCTGCTCTGTGGTTTCTCGATACACTTCTTGTCTGGTGCTTCAGCCTCCCTTGCCGGGTGATAGAACTGTGGGGGACCGGCAGTGGCTGAAAAGATAAGAAGTATGAAATATAAATGACCTTTATTTTGAGAATGCGAGGAGAGACACCCTTGATCCCCTGGGGTGCGGCATCTCCCCCCGGGGTCGGCGATCTTTTTGTGGAACACGTGGAGTGGGGGCCTATATGTAGCTTAGGTTAGGGGTGGTGCCTGACGGCATTAGGGATGCACAAGTAGCCCATTGGTATATTTTTGGCGCCATAGGTAAATTCCTAGGGGTGGGGGAGATAGAGGCTCCTTGGCTTTACCGGCTACAGTGTCCTGTCTGGGCCAAAACTCTTTCATATCCCGTCTTATGATTATTATTATGAAAAGGGGCGAAGATTTCTCTCTTTAACTGCTTCCTTTTGGCAGAGGGCGCTGCACTGGGTCCTAGGGGAGTTGATGGGAGACGGTTGATGCCCATGTAGAAGCTGGTGTCAGGTGTTTTAGCCAGGACAACTTCACTGGTGAATGCACGTATGTTAGACTGGAAAAACAAAGAGACAAGATGTTATGAGGAGGCATGGCACTGTCATATTTAAGGACCCAGGTGAGGTAGAAGGAAAGGTGTCTTTGATTTAGACATGTCATTATATCAGGACTATGTTGGGGTAGAAACATTTGCATGGTAAGGCAGAATTCTGAAAAATAAATGTGGGGTTAGAAGGTTAGAAGTTATGAGAGGTGATTACTCCCCCATCTGAAAGCGTAAAAGTTAAAAGGGTAGGTAGGTAAGGCTTGTCTCTGGTATGTGTGACGTTGAAGTCTTTAGGAAATACTGTTAAGAGTCCTGCTGTAAAAAGAATAAGAAATGAGAAACCAAATTGGATAACAAATCATGACAGTCTGAGAGTTGTGGCTATGAGGCCTTGGTAAGGCAGAGATGAGTAGGCAACAGGATGGTTAGATCTAGGGCCTGAGTGATGCAAAACTAGAATGGCAGTCTAGCAACTTTGATCACTGTTGAGGTTGCCAAGAATATCAGGTATGGGTCACTGTAACCTGGTTATAGTCCTTGGAATGATTTGCTGTAACAGAACTTTAGTAAGTATATCAGCAGTCTCGCTGGTTGTGGGAAAGGCTTTAATGTATCCTGAAAAAGTATAAACAAAGTGAGAAGACAAAATGTATCTGTCAGTCTTGACCAAGGTTGCCTGAGAAATTGGTGAATAAGAAAGGATGACTGAGGAGAGGTTTACTAGCGATGACAGGTGGAAGCTGTTGAGGCCTCAGTGTGTCTAAGTTAGCCTGTATAAACACAAGGGAGTAAAAGCATTTTAAGATTTAGGACTGGGACCTGCACAAAATAGTCCCTGTTTATAAATGGCATAGATTGACCCTCAATGTCTCCTAGAGATTGAGGACTTAATATAGTGGCCTGAAAACTCAGGAAGAACTCTGTACATATGGCCTTTATGTCCACAAGTATAGAGAATGTCTTACCTGAGACTTTTAGTGGGACTTGGACTCTGAAACGGGCACCCATAAAGGGGGCTGTTGTAGGCCCTGAGCCCTGTCAGTCTTTAGCAGCAAGTTTAAGCAGATCTGTGGCCGTGTTGGCATTTCCTGTGAGGGCTGGAAGTTAGGATGGCTTACCCACTTTCTGGTGGCTAGGACAGTCTAGTAGCCCTGGGGTAAGGTCTCAAAGAACGCCAAGATGGGGCACTCTCTTGCCCAATGTCTTCTGCTGCATTTGAGCATGGTCCATGGTGGGGGCGCCCAGGCAGCTCCACCTTGTGTTGGTTTACCTGTCTCAGAACTCCAAGTGTCACAAGTGTTATTTCTGTCATTGAAAATATGAAAAGCCATATTAAGAAGGTCTCTGTGGAGTCTGAAGGTCAAGTTTTGCCTTTTTGTTTGGGATCTGGACTACAGTAGAAGGTATCTATAGAATTAAGTAAGTATGCAGGAGTCAAATATATTTAACAGGGTATTTATAACTTTAGTAATGACTTCCCATATGGAGGACAAGGTCCAGAGAACTTTAGGAACTGACATGTTATTTATGTCATATATATAAATATCTCTTTATGGTATCAAAATGTCTAATGCCATCTGATTTTTAGAGGATGGCCTGTTTATTAATTTTTTTTAAATCTTTTTATTTAGGAGAGAGATCAGCTACAGTGTTATTTAAATAGGGTTTTGGCATTCCAGATCAGAGAGCAGACTTCATCTGGATGGCACACCGCTTTTTTTCCAGGGTGCCGCGTGGCAAGCCATCGTTTTACTGAAATTACATACTTAACAAAAAAGGTTTCAGTCTGCCCTCCCCCTTTTGGAGTATAATCTCATTTTAATGGAAACATTTTGCAGTAAAGGTTCATCAATCTTATGAATAAATACCAAAACTGATCTAATACTGTCAAATTCTGAACACATTTACTTCTTTTCAAGCCTGTTATTTGCAGTACTATAAACCAAGATAAATAAAATTCACATCCTCTTGAGCTTTCTACAACTTACTATATACCCTCAAATTGAGCTTTTCCTATCTGTCACATTCTGGCACAGCCAGACATTTTTACTTGAAGACAAAACCACTTTTTAAATTGACATCCTCTCAAGCTTTCTACAACTTACTATATACCCTCAAGTTGAGCTTTAAAACTTTCAACAAAACCCTTGTCTTGGAACAGAGCTAGTGGTTCCCAGTAAAAGGAATGTATAATTATCCCTAACCTTAGTTGTTAAACAGGAGATCAGCGACAACACAGTACAGTACAGGCAACAAGCCCAACATAGAACATTACTGATGGCCCACAGCAAAAGGAATTCACAAATGACAATACAGTATAATATAGGCAGTAAGCTTAACATAGAACATTATTGGTGGTTTATAGCAAAAAGGAATTGAAAAATACCACAAAACACCTCTTAATTTTAGTCATTAAACAGGAGATTATTGAAGGCTTTGATTGATAAACAAGGCTGGTAAAATTACCTGGCCACGTTCCTCGTTTATCAGCCAAAGTCTTATATATTGCCAGCCTATTTAACCTTGATTAAATTGTTTGAGAATTGTAAAATAATAACATCTCTGAGCAGAGCTGAATTATAAAAAAAGTAGCATCTCTGAGTGGAGCCGATTATAAAAAAAATAGCATCTCTGCTGCTAAACAGACAGGTGTGTTTGTGTTCCAGTGCGCTGGCAGAGCACACCCAGCATGGTGGCGGGGCATGCAGAGTGTAGGTGGGGTGAGCGTTGGGACTCAGCGTGCAGGGGTGGGCTGGGACTGCCCACAGAAACGCGCAAGGTGGCAGTGAGGACAGCGCATGGGGGCGGGGCTGGGACAGAGCACAGGGGAGAGGGGGCCAGTAGCGCTGCGGTCAGGGGGCAGCAGTGGTAGCGCTGGGAGGCGGAGTTGGGACACAGTGTGAAGCTGGGGCTGCTCCTGCAGGCACAGCTGGTAGCCAACCAGTGTGGAGCTGAGCTGCCACGTGGAGGAGCCATTTGTGGGACGTGCAGATTAGGTCACTAGAGCCGAACCCCACGTGGTTGGACCTGGAGCATGGCATGAGAGCCAAGATATCACACGGAGTTGGGGCGCAGCGTGAAAGTTGAAAGCAGCTTAAAGCAGTCTCGGGTGTATCTCTCAACACTGTTTGGGCTCATTTCCCATCTTGGCAGGGAATGGGTTGGCACGCATGGTGTGGGGGAGGGAGGAGGAGATAGTGAGGAAACAAAAGGACGCTGAGAAAGCTCTGAAAGGCTGCAAGGAACGAGGCTATTATCTCTTTAAGTGTGGGGAGGGGGAGGAATCCTGGAGGAGCGGGAAAGGACACACATTCCCAAAACAAAGGCTTAAAGATAGAGAGTTTTGTAAATTTGTGTCAGTGTGATAAGCCATAGACAGGTATGGTTTTTGGGGGGGACAGGAAGTGGTCCCCAAGATAGAATCTGGTGTGAGGTCCAAGCCCATGGAGTTACAGCCAGATGAAGCAACGGACCATGGTCTGTCAAGTTTAAAGTCGTCACCTTGGGGCTGGGGATTTAGCTCAGCGGCATAAGCACCTGCCTTGCAAGCAGGCGGTCGTGAGTTCGATCCCTGGTACCGAGAAAAATGAAAAAGACAAAAAAAAAAAAAAAAAATAAAGTCGTCACCTTACACTCCAGATTGATCAGTTATTATATGGTTCCAAAACTCCTAATAATTGGCCGTCACCAATATTATGAGTGGATTTCACATGGGTCTAGTAACAACTCTGCCTGTGAGAACTTAAAAAGCTCTGAAGGATGTGAGAGTATGGGCTGGTCCAGGAAAACTCTGTCTTGGGCTATCCAAACTCAAAGGACGTGAGGATGTGAGAGTCTCCGAGTGTGGACACAGGTTGCCCAGAAAGACCCTGCTTTGGGCTGTCTAAGGATGTGAGAGCTTTACTTGAACCCACAGAAAGCAGGTGAAAACCCGCCTAGGGCCTGGCCCAGTGGCAATCTCTGGGGGGCTGCTCACCTGTGGTAAATTGGGTCAGTGTTGTTTGTGAACCAGCAGCAACAAGTTTACAGCTCCTGAGTGTAGAAGTGAGGAATTAATGCAGGAGGCAGTCCGGTCCTGGTTCTGAACAGCAGGGGCCTCAAACTGGAAAAAAGCCCCAGGAGCCTCTCATATGCCGTTCCCAGTCAGGGAACCATACGATAGAGCTGTGGGGGACCAGTGGTGGCTGAAAAGATAAGAAGTATGAAATATAAATGACCTTTATTTTGAGAATGCGGGGAGAGACACCCTTGATCCCCTGGGGTGCGGCATCTCCCCGCCGGGGTCGGCGATCTTTTTGTGGAACACGTGGAGTGGGGGCCTACATGTAGCTTAGGTTAGGGGTGGTGCCTGAGGGGCTTTAGGGATGCACAAGTAGCCCATTGGTATACTTTTGGCACCATAGGTAAATTCCTAGGGGTGGGGGAGATAGGGGCTCCTTGGCTTTACCGGCTACAGTGTTCTGTCTGAGCCAAAACTCTTTCACCGGGTCTGCTGGCTCTCTGGACCTGGCGTTTCACCCTTCAGATGTCGTGTCTGTTTCTGTCTACACTGGTTCGGATTCGCGCAGTATGGAGGCTCCCCTGGCAGGCAGGTCCCAGGTGCCCGCTGCATCGCCACCTCCTCCCAGCCTCCGAGCTGCCTGCTCTTAGCACTGCAGCTGCTCACTGGCTCGTGGCTCAGCTCCCATTGCCTTCGGGTTTGCTCTTCTCCGCCTCTGTCTTCATGAATGCGGCCTTCTCACTCCTTTTCTTGTGACAGAACCATGCAAGTCACCTTTGTAGTTCACGCTGTGTTTACCCGGCCTTTGCGCGGTGCTCACGGACTGTGTCCCCCTTCATAATCACTGCCTGTGTTTCAGCCCTGGCCTCCTGGAAGACCTCCGGGGGCTTCCCAACTCTTCTCTCTGCTCCAGCCTCAGCCGTTGGTGTCCATCTCCAGCCAGGACACAGGCTGTCAGGGCATGAGGAAGACAAGGACACTGCGTCCCTTTCCCAAACCTCCGGCAGCCTGGAGCCCAGAGCCCGCAGCCCTGCTGCACCTGTGCTCCCGCCTCCAATTTTTAGGGTTGCTCTTTTGCCTTTGGTGATTGTTCTGGCTCAGCACCCTGCCTGGAATAAAGAAAGGCTCCCAGGGGTTTTCATTGACTTTCTTTGATTCTTCTCTCAGTGGTTGCTTTCTGCCAGTCCTTCCTCATTGCCTCATTGTATTTTTTTTTAAAGAGAAAAAACTCCCAAAATTTCAAAACATGGTAATTAGAGGGTAGCAATGGTTAATACATTGAATCTTGTTATCTTTAAATTAGTTATTCAGAGTACAAGCTATCTGCATTTAATTGTCCAAATAGTATAGGCATAAGCCTTTTCAGTGAACTTCCAGCTTTTCATACTAGGGAGACAATATGATGTTTACACATGCGAGTCTGATCTATTTCACTTATGAGCAGAGTTTTAAATTGCATCCATTTACCTATAAAAGTCTTAAGTTTATTCTTCTTCATGACTGAGTAGTACTCTACTGCATAAAAATACTACATCTTTTTTTCTTTTTCCTTTTTATCGGTACCGGGGATCGAACTGACGACTGCCTGCTTGCCCAGCAGGCGCTTATGCTGCTGAGCTAAATCCCCAGCCCCCCACATCTTTTTTTGGTTGATGAGCATTTGGGTTGTTTCCAAGATCTGGCTATTACAAATTGGGCTGCTATAAACATGGATGCACATATATTGCTGTAGTGTGATGTTTTTAAATTTTTCTGGGAAGATACCCAGAAGGGGAATAGCTGGGTTAAATGGGACCCCCAATCCTAGTTTTTTGAGGTTGATTTCCTTATTTTAAGTGGCCTCCATGCTCAGCATTTCCCATCCCAGCCTTCCTCTTTGGCTCTTGTCAGAGCACCTGGCACCGCTGGACTTGTCTTACATTTTCCTGCTTAGTTTGTGTTTCCCGCTGGAGTCTGGGGCTCTGTCGGGGCTGGAGCTGCAGTGTCCCATGATGACGCTGGGTATGTGAGCACTGAGCCCACCGGCGGGCGGTTGTTGTCAACTTGTTGGCACCTTGGCAGTGATGCCCGAGATCAGATGGCTGGCCAGTGGGGGCGGGTGGAGTAGGGTGAGAATGCCTCTGAAAGGCCCTGCTCTGCAGCTTAACACCTACTCCTTGTGTTTCCTCAGTGTACAACTCCGACGTGATTGATAAGCAGAGTGCCTCCAGGCCTGCTGGAAATGCGGACGACAAAGCTGTTATTATTCTAGTTCCTGTCAGACTTGGTGGGGAGAGAACCAACACCGACTACTTAGAGTTTGTGAAGGTATGAAACTGGAGCTCGTTCGTGAGATGCTGCTGGCTAATGTGAAGACACAGAAGCTTTGCAGACTGTGTGATGCTTTTATAGTGCACACTGTAAAGCGTGAATTTAAAGATTGTGAATGTCCGTATTGCAAGATCAGAAATGTGTGTGTGTGTATGCCCATGCACGTGACAGGAGCCTTGCTCTAGGACAAAGTGAAGGAGTGTTGCATCTTTCTAGCTAATGGGGAAGGCACAGATTTAATAGCAGGCAAAACCTGTAAGGTGGCTACAGTTCTGTATTCTTGTGTGACTTAAAAATGTATGCAGTTCCTTGGTGTGTTCTTAACATCACCATTAAGTCATATTGAATTACTGAAGTAAGCCGACGTTTCATTACCACTGTGTTAGCCTGGAATTTGTTTCCTGTGCCAATCCAAAGTCACTGGGAAGTTAGACTATGTATACAGACAGAAGCACAGAGGTAGCATCAGCGTCAGGAATGGGTTTCAGCTGTATTCTCTTCATATTAGCCAGTTATGAATTCCTTCTATTTTAGAGAATAATTCCATTTCTTACACCAAAAATCCTGTCTAGTTTCATTATCTTGTTTTAGGCACCATGACATCCAGATGTGACAAAATGACTTTGAGGTGATTAGTTTCTGATTGTGATCACAGTTTTAATACAATTCCTCATATCTCAGGAGTCTGTTTTCCAGGGCAGAGTTGGAGCTGTTCCTTGAATGGCATTTTAAGGGCCATGATGACATTGAACTAGAGTCTTGACGCATCTTCCGGGTGTCTGAAACTGTTTGTTCGCAGCCCTGGTTCCTGCATGTGGGTTGCATAGAGGGGCAGCAGACACACAGGCTAGTGTGCTGGCCCTAAAAATCCAGAAGCGTTGCTTTCCACACATCATACGTGGATTCTTATGAGTGGCACATTGCATTTCTTAGTGGGTGGTTACCAAAACGTTGGAAGCACACATGTTACCATGGTAACAGTGCTGTAACATGCTGAGTATCTGTGACTCCCTCATGGATTGGGCTTGGTGCATTACATGTCAACTCCGGAAGAGTGTGAAAGTTGTGAACCCCTCACCTCGAGAGTCGCTTGAGGATTTGGTGCTTCTGGCATCTTGTCACCTCTTGGTGAATTCTACCCAGAGCCGTGCTTGGTATGCCATTGCTCCTGCTTTGGGAAGGCCAGTAATAGATGTCCTCTCGGGCGGACTCGGGGAGCCAGAGCCTTCCCTGGCAGGGCGAGCTGCGGAGCCTTACAGAGGGCCTTGCCGCCTCCCCACATGGGCAGCAGCCACTGGTGCCCGGGCCTCTGGTGCTCTTGAGCTGTAGTGGACAGGCTGCGGTCAGCTGCTCAAGTGACCCTCATACCTAGCAGGTGTCAGGTCTGTTTCCATAACACTTTCCAGTACAAACACATCTCATTTTGTCCTTGGACAGCTAACACCTGCCTTGTCTTTATAAAATGGAGAAGACAGAAGAAGTGGTGTGTTCCGGTAACAAACTGAGCACTGAGCCAAGAGCTTTCTTAACTCTCAGTTCATTATTTTCAGATTTTCCCCTGAAGTACAAATGTTTGAAGTGTAAATTTCCTTGAACATTCCCTAATTGGCATATACTGTAGTTCACTAAAGTGAGACAGTGGGGACTTTTTTTTGGTCTGTTTTTTTGTTTTTTACTGGTACCAGGGATCGAACTCACAACCACACACTTTAAGGCAGGTGCTTATGCCGCTGAGCTAAATCCCCAGCCCCCAGACAGCGGGGACTTTTGAGGCCTTGTACATTTTCAGTGACCTAGTAGAGAGGCATCTGACATGGGTGAGTGGACAGGGTTGTGTGTGGGTTTCTGCTCGGTCAGAAGGGAGAATTGCTCAGTGGCCAAAGTGGGAGCTAGTGAAGAGACACTCAGGTGACAAAGGGCTGTGTTCGACAGTCTAAGAGACAGGTAATCACCCTTTCTTCTTTCTCTTACTCCTCCTCCTCTGCGTGGCAGCAGTTATATTTTTTCCTATGCATTATATTCACGTGTTAAAATCTAAAACTCACCATCCAGTTCTACTTTTCAAATGTATTAAGGTAATTCCGTAGCATTTCAGAGATGGCACCAGTCGATACCCTGCTGTGTTCTGTGAGGAGAAGGAAATGTGGCCCATGCTTTTGTCAGCCCCACCACATAGGTTTATTTATTTATATATTTTTAGGGATCTGGGATGAGGAAAACCCAATATGTTTTCTTCGGCAAGACAAATTAGCACTTTCCTTTTTGACTGATTGCTTCAGTCTTATTTATTGCTTCGTGGGTACAGCTCAATAAATCCTTACTCCGGATGCTGGTGAAGAAGCTCTTCAGGAACTGCAGGGTGTTGCTGCTCTCACACGTAATGGTATCCCAGCTCCTAATCTGCCGCGTGTTCATTGCTAAGTCTGCCCTCGTCCATGGCTCAGGAAATATAGACGTCAGGAGCCAAAGTCTGTCTTCCATTACTTGGAATCATTCTTTTTCTGAGGAGAGTCGGTGATGATCCTTGCATTCTATTTCTTTCTTTTCTGGGCTCTGAGAGACTCAGGACTTAACATTTCTGTGTGTGTCCCTAGCACATAAATGTCTCATTTTTGCTGGTCAGATGCCCTCAAGTGAAGTAAGGGCCTGTCAGCTGTGTTAAGGGTTTTGTTTGAGAGGACAGCAGTAGAATAAATGCTAAATGCTAAGCACTTCTGTGCTACTGCCAACTGTGTATTTTTGGGTATAGTTTTCATCTTTTTTAGTTACCTCCGGTAAGCCAGCGTTCACTGAGATTGTAATTCCATATGCCTCGTTGGTTTTATTTCGTGTTGTGTTAGTTGCAGATCTTAATTCCAAAAGATAGCTCTGATGTTCTTCCCTGACTGCCATATATGAAGTTGGGCTCAGAGGGTAGCATCATCTGGTTTGGGCTGCTGCGACAGAGTTTGGCGAGGCAGGAGAATTTATAAAGAGCAGAGCTTGATTCTCCTGTAGGTCTGGAGGCTGGGAAGAGGGTGCAGGCCTCTGGTGGCCTTCTTTAATTTTATTTATTTATTTATTTATCAGTACCGGGGATCGAACTCACGACCTCACACTTGCAAGGCAAGCGTTTACGCCCACTGAGTTAAATTCCCGGCTCTGGTGACCTTCTTACGCTGTCCTCAGCCACAAGAGCATGATGGGGACCTGTTGACCCCAGCCCTTTTGATGGCAGTGTCTGTGTGGTGTGGGCAGCTCTGCCTGTTACCTGCACACCGCCCCAGAACTCCTCCTCAGAGCTTCCCGCTTCTCAGAGCTCCTGCACCCCCATTCCCACGGATTCTGGAGAGGATAGAAGCATTCAGGTCAGAGCGGAGGTTTGTTTTTGAGGAGGAGAACCTGGAGCAATTTAAATACAATGGGGCTTTCAAGCATTTTTGTTATCTTAATAAAATGGGAAATTTTGTGGCCATTAAGTACTATCATTCATATCTATATTTATTGATATGAAAAGATGCTCATTCCACAGGTGACAGGGGATTTTGACAGCCTCTGCTGAGAATGCTGCATGTAGAAAATCCTGTCAGTAAGTCTGTCTGCTGTGTGTCTAGGTGGCAAGGGGATACCTCCCAGATGTGAATAACAAGGAGCATTGGGGTTTGGGGATGTTGTTACCTTTTTCTGTGCCATTTTTACCATGACCACATGTTACTGTTGTTGAGAAAGCAGTTCAGCAGAAAACTCTGGGGTTCGGTTCTTTGCTGACAGAAGAAGAGCTTGGTGTGTAGCAGCCGGGTACGGGGAGGCAGCGTTCCATGCGCCCCGCCTGCCGTTCACTGTGGCCCAGTGGCACCAGAGTACAGTCGGGGTCTGTTGTTGCCTGTGATGCCCCTGCTGCCTCAGGAACCAGTGGTCATGCTCCGAGTGCTGGCCCGGAAGGACCAGGAGCCAGAATTCAAAGTGGGGCTTTCATGAACGGGGCAGTTTCTGTGCTGTTGCTGTTGACAGATTGCAAGCGGCATGTCTGCTAGTCTGCGGCCACTGCTGCGCTGTGCACCTGTATCCCCTCTAGGGATACCTCTATCCCCTCTGACATTTAGGTCAGAGAGGGGAAGTTCAGTGATTCAGTACTTTTGCAGTGTTGCAGTACAGTTATTAGTGTTATGGGCCAAAATTAATGCAAAAACTATCAATAAGACACGGATTCCTTTGGACACCTGTAATGGACTCGACTGCAAATGTTTTCAAAAAGCGTATAGAGTTACTTGGCCCAGCTTACAGGACTTGCTTAGGATAGACTATTTAGAATGTGGAGGGGCATGCTAACTACCTTATTGAGGCTCTCCTAGTATTTTTGATTAGTAAGGTAAATTAGCTTTAGATGCAATAATACTTATTTTTCCTTGGGTTAGATTGTTTTAATTACTCGTTATGTTTATTCCACGTGAAGCAGGACAAAAATTCTATAAAGTTAATTAGATTAGAAAAGAGCCTGATGAAAATGTTACATTAGTCTGCATCTAGTAGCTAAAAGTCCAGGTGTTTTTATTTTGGCAGGACTTTTATTTCCTTTACTTGGAAACACACGATATGGCTCATGTCAAGACATACTTTTTTTCATTATTGGGACTTGAACTGAGGGCTTTCATGTGGAGCTATCTTTCTAGCCCTTCTTGTTTTTAAAATTTTGGGATGGGGTCTTGCTAGGTCACTAAGTTGTCCAGGCTGGACCTAATTTTGTGATCCTCTTGCCTCAACCTCCAAGAGTGCTGGGATTATAGGTGTGTGCGCCACTGCACCTGGCTCTCAAAAAAGAAACGTGTGCTCAGCAGCTCATGCCCACAGACAGATTAAAGCAGTTAACTGAACACTATTCTAGATGATTTCTTGGTATACATTAATGCAGTTTTGAAAATAAAAAGGCAGCAATGGCATAGATACTGTTTTGTAGCTGACTGTTTCGCTAAGTATCGTAACTTTTCTCCTCAATAAATTAATGTCAATATCAGAATCTCTTAATTATATCATTAATAATTTTTTCTGTTTCCAGTGAGATGGACTTTTACTGTAATTTTGATTTGCATTTCTCAAATAGCCATGTACATATTGGCAATTTGTACTTCTTTCAGAAATGTCGGATCATTTGCTCATTTATTGATTGGGCTACTTGGCCTTTCAGTGTTAATTTTTTGAAGTTCTTTGTGTACTCCAGATATTAATTCTCTTCCAGAAGAGTAGCTGGCAAGGATTTTCTCCCATCCTGTAGGTTGTCTCTTCCCTCTGTTTCCATCATGATGCAAAAACATTTTATTTAACGTCCTCCCCTCTGTTGGTTCTTGTATTGTTTCCTCTGCGTTGGAGTCCTACTCAGGAAGTCTTTTCCTGCTGACTGGCTTCAGGTGTCTCCCCTGCTTTCTTCTAGCAGTTTCAAAGTTTCTTTTTTTTTTTTTTTTTTTGTCTTTTTCATTTTTATCGGTACTGGGGATCGAACTCATGACCGCCTGCTTGCAAGGCAGGTACTTATGCCGCTGAGCTAAATCTCCAGCCCCTTCAAAGTTTCTGATCTTATTATATGCAAGTCTTTGATCCATTCTGAGTTGATTTTCAGGGCAAGAGAGATCTATCTTCAGTCTTTACAGATGGATATACAGTTTTCTCCACACCGTTTGTTAAAGAGACTGTCACTTTTCCAGTGTATGCTTTCAGCCCCTTTGTTAAGAATTGGATGGCTGTGGTTGTGTGGGTTTGTTTCTGTGTTCCCTGTTCTACTCCGTTGGTTTATGTATCTATTTTAGTGTCAGTACTGTGCTGGTCTGGGACTATGGCTTTGTAGTATAATTTGAAATTGAGTATTGATATCCCTCCAGCTTTGCTCTTTTTACATAGGATTGTATGGCTCTTGGGGGTCTTTTGTGTTCCCATATGAATTTTAGCATTGTTTTTTTCTACCTTTGTGAAAAATGTCATGGAAATTTTGATAGGGATTGTATTAGATCTGTAGCTTTTGGTAACTGCTGATCCATGAACGAGGGGAGTCTTTCCATCTTTTAGGGTCTGTCCTAAATTTCTTTCTTAAAAGTCCAGTATTTTTCTTTTCTTTTTTTTTAAGTTCAGTAATTGTCATTGTAGAGGTCTTTTACTTCCTTGATTAGGCTGATCCCTCGGTATTTTACTTTTTGGGAAGCCAGTGTGAGCGGAATTTTTTTTCCGATTTCTTTTCAGCTAGTTCATTACTGGTGTATTGAAAATCTATTGATTTTTTTTTTTTTTTTTAATGCTGTGTTTGAGTCCTTGGTGGTTGTTTAATGTTGTTGAGCAACGTGTTGATCAGACTGCTTGGGATCATTGTATTAGTGCTGAATGATTTAAAGAAAGTGGAAGCTGGATGTCAGAAGATGGGGGTGAATGTGGTAAACATGATAACTAGTTGGTGAAAGATTTGGGAAACACTGATGTTGGTAGTTCAAATTCATTTGTATTAAGTGATTATCATTTGTTGGCTCTAAACCTATGTCACTCTCTTTTGGCAGGGTGTATTAAGTCTTGAATATTGTGTGGGTATTATTGGTGGCAAACCTAAACAGTCCTACTACTTTGCCGGATTTCAAGGTTAGTGATCCATTGTTTTCTTAAAAGTTAGAAAGTTAATATGAAATTATCTGTAAACAGGAAGATTAACAGGGCCAAGTGACTGCCTGATGCATTCATCAGTCGTATCGTGGCCACTCATTTGTCATTTGGCCCACAACATAATTGGATTCTGTAAAAATGTATGCTTAATATCTGCTACTGCACATACCGAGCATAATTTATTGGTTTTGCTAAACTTGAGGAGACATTGCCGCCACATGCTGGCAGTTGCTATTTACATATTTACTTTTTACTAGTTTTAGTGGTGCTGGTTGATGATAAAATGACAAGCAATATGTTCTTCCTGTCAGGATAAAGAAGTGCAATACATTTTTCATATGCAAACTGTAGAATATAATTGTGTGTTTGTGAAAGTAATTTTATCACCAAAAATTAAATGACAGTTTCATCACTTTATAAAAATTCTGCTTATACAAGCATATTTGATTATGCAAAAGTTAATCTATCCTGTGCAAACCTATGTTTCAGTCAATGAACATCAGTCTGCCAAGCTGTTCCTCCTAGGTTTTTTTCAGCTGCTCTACATAGAAATTGGATTGTAAGCGGTGTAATAATAGGTGTTTTTTGCATTACTTGTCTTCTGTTTTGTCCTTGCAGATGACAGTTTGATTTACATGGACCCTCATTACTGCCAGTCTTTTGTAGATGTCAGCATAAAGGATTTCCCTCTTGAGGTACTACGGATAGAGAACTGCATTGTTATTTTTTCCACGGGAACAAACTAATTATTTTAGAAATGTGTTAGGTAGCCATGCTTTTATAGTAACATAATTTGAAGTTAATATTTTGCAGATTTACAAAACCATACTCAACACAGTGGTCAAAGGTTAGTGCTTTGCTGCTGAATTTTAATTTATGATATACTGTCTTCTTCATTTATCTTTGTCTCCGACTTGTTAGATGCTCTAGTCCTACTAAAATAAATGATTAAGCCTCTGTGTAATTCTGTAGAAAGACAGCTAAACAGTACTAAAGAATTTAAAGTGTTAGGTCTATTTTTAAAAAGAAAGGAGCAATAAAAGAGAACGTGATGGACTTGAAGTGGCAAAATAAGCTTTAAGTACAGTAAATCTCAGCCCCTAAGTTAGAAGTTTCTAAGCACTTAGCTGGGCTTCTAATACTTGTTTTAGTTTTCATTTTTTATCCTCTCCTTTCTCCTTTTATAGGTCATTTTGTGATCCAATATTTAATTCAGAAAAAATTGGGAGTTCATAAATCAGATATATAATTATTACACAGTTTTGGTTCTTATTTTCTCAGTTGATTCTTTTACAGACTAGAATAATTTTATAGAGTAAAGTCATTTTGGTCACTGAAATGGCATGGATCAAAGGATTGAAGTGTTGGAAATGTAGTTATGTAATTTATTGTAGTATTTTCTTGTTAGTATTAATAATGAGCAGTATGTAAGGGGTAGTTTATAAACAACATTAAAATCTGGGTTGGAGATTTATATTCTTATAACATCCCAGCATCCTTTGTAAATTATTGCCTCAACTAAAGAGAAGCATTTCGAGACAGAGATGAGGCTTTTTCCTCTTCCTTCACACAGTCAGTGCATAGCAATCTTAACGAATATTTGCCAGACGGCCACTGACGCTGGGGGAGTCCCACGCTGTGGTTCTCCTTTGTCTCCACTGCGGTCCCGTGGCCCTGCTTGTTCCATCTAGGTTGCATTTCTGGCATGTCCGGGCTAAACAGGATCCGTGTAACGGCAGATGCTTGAGGTTCGGATGGAAAGTGGTTCGTGGTACCTGTTTCCTGCCTAGAACAGGCAAGTTAAAAAAAAGTCATTGATCTGGATTTTGGCCAGTTGAGATCCCGTGGATATTCTGAGAGGTTCTGCAGCTGCCAGGTCAAGCGAGCGGTATCTTGTTTCTGTCTGCACAGTCAGAACCAGTGGTGCAGCAGCTCAGTGTTGGAGTTTGTTGCAGCCCCAGGCTTGAGTGAATAAAAGCGTGGGGTAGGGCACTGGTAGCAAAGGTGGAAAGAAAGACTTGACTTAAAGGTTGCATGGTGAAAGTTAAATTTGGTGAACTTGGGTAACTTGGATGCACAGAACTTACTCCTTTCGTGTTAGAGCACTGTGCAGGTTGGCTGTCCTGTTGCTGGGACACAGTACCTGGTACTCACGACTTAAAGGAGGAGAGGTTTAGGGGCTGTCTGTGGTCCCCTGGCTCCACTGTGAAGTGTCGCAGGAGAAGGTGCGGTGGAGCAAAGAGGCTTAGTCTTTGGCTGCCAGGAAGCAAAGTGGGGAGCAGTGGGGAGAGGCAGGGTGAGGGACAGAGTCAGACCCAAGGCTGCGCCTCTGTGACCCCAGACACAGCCTGCTGTGTGCTCTGCCAGTTCCCCCGGACCCAAAGCAGGTCTGAGTGACACACAACCCTGATGCCACACAACCATGACAGAGGGATCTAGCTGTTATATTTTGGAGTACAGGAGTTTGTCTTAATCATTTAGCTGTCAGCATCATGTGTATCCCTAGAACATGAAATAATCACAGCAGGTTGTCTGTCTTTGTATAGGACTACAATTTTGCTTTCTGGTCTTTGTCATGTCTTCAACTTGCTGTGCTCTAAGAAAGGTGTTTGAGCTACTCTAGGGACTACCAGCCATCCTTGCTTTGCTGTCGTGGTGGAGCGTGTGTGCCGTGGGCATTTTAAGACTGACTATTGAATTGAATGTATATTCTAACGCCACCTTCATACTTCAATTGTGAAATTCAATTTTGTAGGCTACATTTTTTGATCAATACTTCTTTTTGGTCAATAGAGGGAGAAATTTAAATGTTAGATCTTCTATCCATGTCTGTTTAAAGTTGGTTATAGTTCTGATTTATATGAATGCCCTAATCCAACTGAGTTGTGAAATTTTAAAAAGAATATTTAAGACTGAAGAAGAGATTTAAATAGATTATATTATTTGTTATTATTCCTTCAGTATCAAATTCCTATGCTTCTGGAGTTGAATTTTTAACTTTTTTTTTTTTTTGTCTCTTTGAGATTGGTTTCATCATGCAGTTCAGGCTGGCCTTGAACTCACTTTGTAGCCCAGGCTGGCCTCAAACTCACAGTGATCCTCCAGCCTCAGCCTCTCAAGTGCTGGGATTACAGGCATGTGCCACCCTGCCTGGCTGAATCCAAACCACTCCTTTCTTTAACTATCATTTGCAGAACTGTTTCTAGGTGCAGAGTTAGAAGAGAATGGCGAGGACTTAGACAGGATTTGCAGTGCGGGTGTGTTGAGTTGCATGTTTCCATTGTCCAGGTTGGGGAAGGGCTGACCCTGACCCATGCAGTGACTACTGGGGTGAGAGAGCTAGTATATGTGTGTGTGATACGTGCACTTGCATGCATGTGTATAGACACACCTGCGTGTGTGCAACATGCTTATTTTATATCATATGTAACTGTGTGTGTGCGTACATACACATAAAGCACAGGAGCACACAATGAATTAAGTGTCCTAAGGCAGATTATTGGTTCCTATTGTTTGTACATACTTCAGAATGACAGCTTCTAACTGTTACAGATAACCACTTGTAAGTGGTAAAAAAGCCTGTTAACAGCCATGTTAGTCAGTTCTGATAGCTGTGTCCCCAGTCCCCGTACCCGACTGTAGAGCATTCATTCAGTGGTGATGATCCTAACCTGTCCTGGTAAGTTCAGATGTTATTAGTAGGTGGATGAGTGAATTTTTCAGTGAAAAAACACCCTTTATAAATCACACAATGGAAGTAGTTGTCAGTGAGAGTATTCGCTACCTCAGAGATCTTCATTTTAAATCTCCAAAATAGCATCCCTGCACTTAAAAGTGTTTGTTTCAGTATTGTTTATATGCTTAGATAATAAAATCCATTATTAAATAAATAAGTCCACAAAACTGCCTGGCATTTAGTAGGTGCCTAGTTGACCATTTCTTGGGGCAACAAATAGTGTATTAAAAAACGAAATAAGGAAGAATTGGCTTTCCACATTTTATCAGAAACATACTTCACTGTCACAGAAGTGCATTTAGTGAACTCTACCTGGAATATGTTTGTAAAGTAGAAACCACTGTTCTGGCCAAACTGCAGACTTCTGAAAGTGAGCAAGAGGCAAGGCCTCGGCATGTTGCCAGGTGTGCTGCTGGCCCTCATGCCTCCAGCCACCACGTCTAGCTTCCTTTTCGGGGTTGGAGTAGAGAGTTTCGACTTAAAATCTCTTAGTCTTGAGGTTTTGAAGGTAGGGAATTATTAGGTTCATAAGTTCATATGCAGCCTAGGTTATGTCTTAGTTAGACTTGTTCTTTTTTTTTTTTTTTTTTTTTTGTCTTTTTCCTTTTTATTGGTACCGGCGATCGAACTCACGACTGCCTGCTTGCAAGGCAGACGCTTATGCCGCTGAGCTAAGTCCCCAGCCCCCTAGACTTGTTCTTTAATTCAGATTCAACATGGAGAGTTTCCCAACTTTCCTTCCATCTGTCCAGTTCTCTGCCTGTCTCCTAAACTTGTTGATTTTTGCATATCCTTACAGTTTATGCAAATATAAACAAATATTAATAGATGGTTTTGTGTTCTTCCATTTTTACATAGACTTTTAAAAAATAGCTTATAGAAGGATACTTGGTAGCATGGATGATATTTAAGGATAGGATACCCACACATTCAAACTTTTAGAAAAGTCTTTTAAATATGGTACCAAGCACGGTGGTAAAGAAAACGGGGTGATTAGCACTGTGATTATTTCTTTTCCCGGCTGGCAGCCAAATCCGGCTAGCGAGGGTGGCGGAACAAGGCCAGCCTACACAGCATGTGTGTCTCTGGGCACTGTGAACGTTTGGGAGAAGTCAGGAGGACAAGTGGGAAGGAGGGCAGGGGCCTTCATGGGCGATTTTTCCCCGAGCCCCACCCTTGGCCTGGGTGGGATAAACTAGAACTGAGTGCAAGCATCGTGGGAGAGAAAGGTGGAAGAAAGTACCATATGTGCTGATTGTGTCATTGTTATTGCTTAAACAGACTTCTTTGCATGTTGGAACAGGACATTTGTATGACTGTGTGAAAGTCCTTTATTTTACTTCATTTTATTTCATTTTTATTAGTACAAGGTTGCAGTTCATGATGTTTACATTGCTTTTGTGGTTAGGAGCTTTAAGTATTAAAGGGAGGAGTCTCTGACCAGCAGACTTACCTGTAGTTTCTGGTGAGAGCCTTGCGTCCCCTTTGCCCCGTCCCTGGTCTTCCCCTCAGCCAGGGTTAGGGCTGCGCACTGCTTGGGACAAATGTCCTTCCTCTTGCAGCAGAGCAGTAATGTCACGTAAGGTGGAGCCTGGGGATTTGAACTGCAGTGTTGGCTCTTGTATTTTACAGCCTTGGTGTGTGGGAGGGATTAAATGCCATTTAAAATTATTTTTGCCATTTTGAGAAAAAGCTAGAAAGCGAATTTTAAATAATAATTTTGCGTATACTTAAAGTAAAGGCACATTAATCCTAAAGAACTTTAAAATTTGCAGACATTCCACTGCCCTTCTCCCAAAAAGATGTCATTTCGAAAAATGGATCCTAGCTGTACAATAGGATTTTACTGTCGAAATGTTCAGGACTTCCAGCGAGCTTCTGAAGAAATCACCAAGGTACCTTTGTTTAAAGTATTCTAATAATATTTGTAAATGATGTGTTTTTTATCATATGTAGCATAACGATTCCAGAAGTTGCAAATAATGGTTTTTTGGTAAAATTTCCCCTTCATGGAGAATTGTGAACCAGAAAAGTGTGTGGGTAAACTGAACGATGCCAGCGACCAGCTGGAAGTGCTGCAGGCTCCACTAGGTGGCACTCTTGAATCAAGAACCCTACAAACCAGCGAGCCGGGTGCAATTGTCTGCTTCTGTTCTATTCAGAGAGGATTTTAAAGGGCAACCCCTTCAGGGTAGAAAAAAATTAATGAAGTATTTGATCAAGGCAAATTGTGCATTATTTCTTGTTAATCCAACTGCTGCTTTTATTTATTTATTTTTTAAAGAAATGGTGTTCTTGGATCTTTCAGAACTGCTTTATCAAATGAGCTGTGTGGTTACCTTCCAGTAAATTTGTCTAATCGGATCTGTTTTACTTACAGGATTTGTGAAATAGGTTTATTGAACCTCCTCTCATTTCCTTTAAACTTGTGCATGTTTGTGGTCACTTGGGTACTGCTAATACATTTACAGAGCTTTACTGCCTAGGCCTCGTGGTGGAGACAAAGCGTGCTCGCTCTCGCAGTGGTGTACCTGGCCCTGCATGGTCAGTACCGCTGACCTGGGCCTGGCTGGGCCAGGACACCTGGCTCAGAGTGGTGACCAGGCATTGCCGTGTTACTTTCAGCTAATTTTCCTTGGGAAGGTGGCAATTCCCATTAGTATTTTACAGTGTGAAAACAGAATGGGGAAGTTCAGTGGGAGGCTCTCAGGTGCTGGGCTGTGTGCGCACGGCCTGGTGTGGGACAGCGGAGGGATGAGGGGGGCAGAAGACAGGTGTGGGCCCCCCTGTCCTTACCGTGTCCTCTTCCTTTCTACAGGGACCGAGGCCGGGTGAGCGGGCAGAGCAGGGGTCCTCCCTCTCCCTACTGTGTCACTTTTGTGTGTTTAGCTTTGTAGTCCTTTGTCTTTGTAAAGCAGTACGCCGGAACACACTGACCCAGTTTCCATGGTGATGCCCACTGGTGCTGAGGAGCATCTTCATTCAGAAGCGCCTTTTCTGTTTTCAGTAATTTAGGCTGATATTTAGATTATGGTGTGTTTAGCCTGGCAAGCGCGAGGTTGTGAGTTCGATCCTGGGTACCACCAAAAAAAAATAAACACACACACACACACACACACAGCATTTAAGAGAGTAGTGTCGCCTCCTGAAATAGAAACAAACTCAATTACTATACCAAACTAAAAAACATAAAAGTTACAAATGACTTTTCTGATGAAAAACAGTTTTTGTGGTTTTTACATTGGAAAATAGAAATTATAGTACTTAATATATCGTTAAAGCAAAGAGAAACCATGTTCAGGTGCCTTTTGAAAGTACAAAGAATTTTATAAGAATCAACTAATGTGGTGTCCCTAAGGTAATGTATTTTTGTAGCAATGTCAATAACTCGCTTAGTCAGATTCTTAGCACTCATTTAATACTTGGATCATTTGCTTTTGCTTGGGTAGTTGTAAGTTAAGCAGCTTTTTTTCCCCTTAAAAACCATTTCATTTAAACCATTGTTTTCTTGAAAAATTAAAAGAACCTAAAAATTATTTGTTACTGTTTAGCATGTATGCCCAATTTTCTCACTTTGAGACAGAAGCTAGGTAGTCTGGAGACCCACGTTTGATCTTGATGCTCTGGCCTGTGCTCTTTAAGATGCTAACGAGCACTGTTCAAGAGGTCAGCGCTTAGCAGACTTCAGTGCAGCACCAGGTGTACCAAGCCTGACTCAGCCAGGCGAGGCCCTGCTTCTAAGACAAGGGAGCGAGCTCCTGCTTCCTGGTGTCCTGGTGGAGGCCGAGTGAGACGGCTAGACACACATCACACAGAAGTGGAAGTTAGGCAGTGTGTTTACGGGAAGAAGCGTTGCAATGAGAGTGGCTGTGTCCACGGGGTTAGGGTGAGCACAGCGCGCAGCTCGGTTTCCCCTGGCTTAGTGAGGAGGGACAGGGTGTGCTGAGGAAGAGGGAGGAAGCTGTAGGAGAAGGGTGGCGGAGGCTGGCTGGACAGGTGCCCTGGACCAGGACAGGGCAGGGTTCCTGTCCTCCGCTGTTTCCCAGGAGCCCTTGTGGGCGTCCTGGGGTCCCATTTCCAGGGAGCCTCCCCACGAGCTCATTCACCACGTCAGGGAGCCCCATGTACCGCAGGCTCCCTGCGTGTGACACTTGATGAGGTTGCCACGTGTGTCAAGGACAAAAGTGTTAATGCTTATGTATTTATTTATATTCGTCTTAAAAGACAATGACTTACATACTGAACATGTGCTTTCCCATTTTTATTAATAGCATAGGGCTACTTGAGGCTGGGGATTTAGCTCAGTGGCATAAGTGCCTGCCTTGCAAGCAGGCAGTCCTGAGTTTGATCCCTGGTACTGATAAAAACGAAAAAGACCAAAAAAAAAAAAAAAAAAAAGCATAGGGCTACTTAACCTAAATGATGAAAAGGGAAAAGTTCATTTATCACAGTCTGGAGAGGGCACACACACACAGAGGGTGACAGGACTGTCCCAGGCCAAGGAAGCACTTGCTGTGAGAAACGGTGAGAGGTGACGGAAAGTGTGTTGAAGTCTGTTGTGGAGAGGGTAGGATGCCAGATGGAAGAAGTCCCTTAATAATGAATTCACTTTATTACACTGATCTTAAATTTCAGGCATATAGAATTATAGAGAATAATGTGATGAATGCCCATGTCCTACCGTTGAGCTTAAGAGAAAGATTCCGTGTATAATTGAGGTGGTTCTCCCCACGTTCCCTTTCCTTCCTCCTGGGGTAACTGCTCTCCTGAACTAGCATCTCACACTGTGCTTTGTGTCTTCTAGGCAACACGTGTGCTTTGCATGTTGGTAAGCTTCCATCAGTGATACCTTTGTATAAAGATGGATCTCTTTCTGTAGTTTCCACTTTGTGACTTTTCGATTATGTACTTGTTGATTTATTTAAATTGCAGAAGAGTGTCAGTTCTAAAACACTGCTTTGTATTTAAAATTTATTTTGTTGATGGTCACCTAGTTGTTTGAGATCGTAAAGATCGTAAAGTTGTTTAAGCTTATTCAATTACACACATATAGCCAGGGGTTTAGCTCAGTGGTGTAAGTGCCTGCTTGGCAAATGTGAGATTGTGAGTTCAATTGCCGGTACAAAAAAAACCCCCAAAAACAATTACACACCACACACACACACACACACACACACACACACACACACATGGTTTTTTTGGTCTTTTTGAGACAGGGTCTCACTATACAGTTCAGGCTGGCCTCGTGTTCACTTTGTGGCCCAGGCTGGTCTCAAGCTTGCAAGGATCCTGCTACCTCAGTCCCCCAAGTGTCGGGATTACAGGTGTGTGCCACCATGCCTGGCTAATTGCACATATATTTTAAAGAATGTTCTTGTGCCTCTTTGTAAATTCCAGTACTTTGACCAAGATTCCAGATATTGCAAAACAGTGTTGGTATAGAGCACACGTTTTGGGGTTTGCTAGACACCATCAGAGACTCTCCAGAGTGATCAGAAAAGCAGTCTAAGAATTTTTAGTGCTTCTTAAATGTATCAGCACGTAATACTGCCAGACTTTAAAAGTTTCAGCCAAAGTAATTTATAGAAAGTAATTACTGTTTGTACTTTTAATTTGAATTTCCCTGATTGATAGTGAGGTTGCGAATCTTACCAAGGTTATCACCCTGATTGGTTCTTCCTTGGGAATCTCCTGTTCATTTCCTTTTTTTTTTCTGTGGGGTCATTTAACTTGGAGGAAATCTTTGTAATTTTGGATCCTGCTATTTTGTTGGCTATATGTATTACATGTATTTTTAGCTAGGTTTCTCCCTGGAATGCCGATGGGTGGCCCAGGATCCCCATTTCCAGTGAGCCTCCCCGCGAGCTCATTCACCAAGCCACCGTGGGAAGCAGGCACTGTGGGAAGCAGGCACCTGTAGTATGACACGCGGTGAGGTTGCTAGGCGTCTCAAGGACAAATGTTGTAATGCTTATGTATTTATTTATATTCATATTAGAACAATGGTTCACATGTTAAACATGGGTTTCCCATTTTTATTAATAGTATAAGGCTAAGTAACTTACAGAAGATGAAAAGAAAAACATTTAGAACTTTAAAGGAAAGTAGTAGCTTTTTTTTTATTCCCTGCATAGAAAAATGATTGCTTCAGCAACGTTTTATCAAGAAGTCCAGCCCTCCTCCTCAGCTTCCTAGTACCCTGTTCGAGGACCCGGATGAGACAGAAGCTGTGGGAGTGGAGAGGGAGGCCGGAAGGCAGATCAGTGTGTTAGGCGGCCACCTGGGCTTGGGCTGAGGGCCGGTTCCTGAACAAGTCTGCTTCGTATCTAGAATCGGTGAATAGGAGGAAAGGAGAGTTCACTGATGTGGTTACTCACTGAGGCAACAAATATTTGAGTACTGTCGCTCCTACGACTCCACTGGAGCTGCTTTTCCAGGTCATCAGTGAGCTGCACTCTGCTAAGTGTGATGGTCAAGTCCTTGTTTTCATCTCATTTGTCACAGCAGAAGCTTTTAGCACGGCCCAGGGCTCTGCCTTCCTCTGGCTCCCCGGGTTCTTTCTCCCCATTGGTCAGCAGGTGTCTGGGTCTCCTAGGCCTGCTGCTTCCCCGGCCTCGGCATGGCAAAGCACCCCAGGGCCCAGTCTTCACTTTTCTTGAAACCAAGATCTTATCTTTAGCTCCAGCCTTGCTGCCAGGTGTAGATTCTCTCTGTGCCCCGCCATCCCAGCAGTGTCTGCGGTGCGCATCCAAACGTGAAATTCTGGAGTTTCCTTCTCAAGCCTGTTGTGTTCAGTTTTCAGTTCTCCTTACGTCACGCGATGGCCCAAAGCCCTGTATTATCTTTACCTTCTTCCTAGCTCTCACATCCCATAATATGTTCACCCTATTACATA